GGGGGGAAGAAAGAGCCTTTAACTCAACCCTGGGGACCAAGGGCCCCTGGTGTTAGCAAACACCAACATACTGATCGCAGCTGAAGAAATGCAACCGCCTGTGGCTGTGCGTACACTCGTGCTACGTCTCAGCCATGCAGAAGGGCCTTTGGGTGGCTTAATTCGTCCCAGAGTGGTATAAAGGAGCCTTAATATAAATCAGAATCCAGTTAATTTATATTTACGCACGTCTTTACCTTCCGCTGTCTTAAAAGGTTAGTCTGTCGCAAAGTGCAGTGCTCCAGCAGAGGGAAATTCAGGATGAAGGTTTTGCAGACAGTCGTCTCTTTCCTTTCTTTGTGTGGGCTTTAGGAATTAATTTTGGGGTCCCATGGGAGTTGTTTCACATTGCCTTATCGGTGAGGACGTCTGGTTGGAAAGCGTAGCTGCCAAACCCTTAACAAGCTTCTCCAGAGTAGGCGCAAGGCGTGATTTTTCTGAATGTCAACATTTTAGGTCAAATTTAGGTGAATTTTCAATGAAATTACCCAAGTCACATCTCCCGACACTGCAGCTGGCAGATTTTTAATTCCTTTTCTAAACGAGCTTGTGCTGCAAGACTTCACGGGGAAGTGGTTATGCCAAGTAATGAGCATGCACAAAGCAGAGCTATTTTCCCCTTGCAGGGATTCAGGAAGTGTATTGAAGTGCATTCTGTGAAATTCTCAAAAACCTAGAAATAAAAAATAAAATGAGTTTGAAGCATGGGTATTACCAACAGAATCAAGCCAACGGGTCCCAACTTCAAATGATTCTGAGCCCACAGTAGTTGAGTCTTCTCACAGCAAGTGCTCTTCAAACTACAACACAACAAGTATTTGGGGGTCCGTGCCAGCGTCCTTCCACGTTCCTGTTCCCCTGTGATTTACTATCTGGGCCCAAGCTGCGGGTAGCTCTGCCAGTGGAAATTTCTCCAGGAGTTCTTGCACAATCCCAGCAGCTGTTTTTAGCCCTGTTTGGGAAATTAGTGAACTTGAATGATCCTGTTACGCTCTTAGTTTGTCAGTAAAGATGTTGAGCAATCAGCAGCATACGGGAGATCAGAGAGAGCAATTTCAGTTTGTTCTTTGGATCCTTTTTTAGCGCTCTGCTTTAAGAACAGAGGGTATACTGATGCTGTCTCTAGTGGGTGTAAGTCAGCATAGTGCTGCTGAGGATCCGGCCTCTCATGTTCTGGGCTTTTTAAAGATACCCCAGAGAGTAGCCTTGATACAACCCAGCTGTGCTCACCTTACCAGAACTGGAAAAATAGCTGTTTGAGCTCTCAGCTTTTTGCTCTCCTCCTCCATCAAATCTGCTGCTGTTTGGGGATCTGGGGGTGGGAGCTGGTTGTAACATATAGCAATAAAAGGCTGCTGTAGAGTTTTGTAGGAAACATCAAAAGTAAAGAAGCTGGGTGTCCAGTGCCCTTGAATATACCTGAGCAGCATTTTTATAGGGCGGGCAGGTATAATATGGGACTTACTGGAGACTCATATCTTTCAGCAGCAAGACCAAGAGGTCCTGGCATCTAAACTGAGCCTTGAATATATGTTTTAAGTGGATTATTTCTCTGACATTGCCTTTTTGAAACAGAGAACATTTCCAGTTAGCCCCAGGCATCAGTCAGGACTTGGGATTTTCCCCTGACTCTGCCTTGATTTGCTGCCTGAACTTCTCCAGGCTGAGATAGCCCTGCTCTAGATTATGAACATAATAAAAGTATCCCAGTTTCAGGCCATATTTTTGAGTTTGCTTGGAGATGAGGCACAGTGGGACAGCAACATTTGCCTGGTTGCCTTCCGCCTGTATAGCGGGTGGGGGAAATATCCTTCTCCCAGCTGCGGCGAGCGAAAGCGTCTCTGTGCTGGCCGGGCACATCTCACATGCCCTTCCTTCTCCCCAGGTAAACTGGGCGGCCAGGACTCCTTTGAGAGCATAGAGAGCTACGACAGCTGCGATCGCCTGACGCAGTCCTGGAGCAGCCAGTCCTCCTTCCAGAGCCTGCAGCGCGTCCCCTCCTACGACAGCTTCGACTCGGAGGACTACCCCACCGCCCTGCCCAACCACAAGCCCAAGGGCACCTTCAAGGACTATGTTCGAGATCGGGCCGATATGAACAAGGACAAGCCTGTCATTCCTACACAGGTAGGGTCACGCTCCTCAGGAAACTGCCTCTCTGTTGCCTGTCTTGGGTAGAGCCTCTCCATCGGTGGAGGGCACAGCCTCAAGGGTCCCTTGGTTGCCCAATGTCTCTGTCGCTGGTTCAGTGGTCTTTGAGTGAGGGGTTTTGGGGTGCCCCTGGGGTGAGCCACGTGCCTGAGAGCACGCAGCCCCCCAAGGCTGCACATCCATCAAGCACAGGCACTCCCAACCTCATGGAGGATGTAGGAGCACAGGGCACTTGGTGCCTTGTGTTTTCATTTACGCCTGGATGCTTCCTGCTTGGGTCAGGAACTGGTGTCTGCTTCATATGGCTGAGAACATGAGGGGGTAGAGACCCCTTGTTTCCCCCTCCGACACTTCTATGCAACGTGCTGGCCACTTGCTTGTGGTTTCCCACCTCGGGTAGGAGCGGCTGCATTTCTGGCACTGCTGTGCGTGATGCAAAACAATCTTCTCCCTTTTTGGCATGAAGGAAGCACTTGGGTTTGTGCTTTACCTTGGTGTGAGGGGTGGGATGGTGCCAAAGCAGACCCAAACATTTGCCATTCCCTGCACCGGGAGATAGATGAGAAGGTGATGGGCCATGGAAAATCCGGTTTTTTATATGACAGCCCTCCAGCAATCTGGCATCTCCACACAGAGAAACCTGGTGGGATGGGGTTTCCAGCTAAAATTGAGATAATCCTTTCCAGTCCTTCTGCGCCGTGTCTTTTCCCTGTACTATAAGTAAAAATGGCAGGGTATCCTCCTGCCAGTTCCCTGTTCCCGCGTACACGCTGATCTCTCCAGCCCCGGCTGGTACCAGCTGAGGCCCGCGGGAGCCAAGCGGTGGAAAGAGTTTGTGCAGATAAAGATCATCAAAAGGTTCAGAGCAGATCCTGAGGTGCGATTCTCCCTGAAATCTCCTCCCACGCACAGCTCATCTTAGGGCTGATATCTAGTTTTTTGTAAGGTGGGGGGGGAGAGGTGCAAAGGGGAGGAGAAGGGGAGAGATAATTTTAGGAGCTATGTGTAAAAAAGGAAGTGGTTTGTTGCTGTAGCTGTAGTTAGAAAGAAAGCTTAGCCCTGCCTGCTGAATGAGCCTGTTTCGACCAAGTGTATGCAAAATAAAAGTGTGCTCTGCTATTCCTGAGTGGTTTTCAGCTGGGGGATGTAGTGGGGAGAGGCATGAGCGGTAGGAGGGACCATGCCCCCGGACACCATCCTCTGCCGTGCCGCGGAAGTTGAACTTCCTAAGAAACGAGACCAGCGAGCACAACCTGCACTTCTCATTCCTGTTTTCTCCTGATAACGCCTTTCACTACAGCCCATGGCAGTGTTTTGGGCAGGAGCTTTGGTTGCATTTTAACAACGGGGGAAACTGAGGCACTGGTAAAACCTAGGCGCTTTATTTTCCAATCTGTTTCCCTCCACGTTTGCTGTAGCTCCTGGAAAAGAGCTGCGCCTGTGGAGAGGCGGCGTTCCCAGCTCCCTCCACGAGCGAGGAGACGGAAGTCGGCGGCTGGACCCTGTGTTTTGCCAAAGGAGCATTAGCACCCTGAAGCGTGTCCCTGGCCTCGTGCCGCCAGGAAGAGGAGACTTTGGTTCATTCAGTGCCAGAGCACACTTGCAAATGCTTTGCGCTGCCTAACGTTTTCCCTTCCCTCACTTCAAACGCTGTTTTGAGTCGGGAAGATAATCCCTTGGCCCAGGCGTTGTGGAGTGGGAGTGCCTGCTTTCTTTATTTATTTTTTGTATTGCTTCACGTGGGAAACTTTAAATGGGGAGAGGAGAATCAGAGGTTTCCAGAGTCAGCAGTCACTTGGAAATCCTTGGGCTGGAGCACTTCTTGCTTGCTGCGAAGGCTGCTGAGCAGTAATTCAGTGCTCAAACCGCCACAGCCTGCATTTACCCATCCGTGGATGGATGAACTTGGCAGGCATGTGGCTGCAGAGATGTCCTCTGTCCCTTTTTAAAGCCTACCGACCTGTTGGCACCTCCGGTTTTCTGCGCAAAGGGAGCCCAGCATGGGTGCAAAGCGAGGCCGAGTTGCTGTGAAAGCAGGTCGCAGCGAGAGCAAGTGAGAACGTGTTGCGTTACAAACTGTAGGGGAACTGTGCCCCCAAAAAATTGCTTTGCATTTGTGAATTTCTGCAAAAAACCGATAAATTCAGGCTGGCTACTGAGCTGGCCCTCTTGGGCCAGCTGAGCAAAGAGCATGGGGACTCTCAGGGAGAACTCCTTGGTCCCTTTTTTGCTTTGCTTTGCATTACTTTTACTTTACTCAGGGGAGGAAGTGCTGTCTAGCAGCTAGAGCGGAAGAACTGGGCTCCGTTTGCAGCTCTGGTGAGGAGGTGGAGCCTCCAAACGAGCAGAGCTGGGGATTACCAGCCCAGGGTCCCAAAGTGCCAGGACCCCTGCTCTCCCATTCTCCCTCGGGGGTGCCTGGAGCGCGTGTCCAACCCCAGTCACCAGCCAGGGGAGCACCCAACAGACATAGGCCTGGAAGGGTGAAGCCTGGGACATCACATCCTTCATCTCCAGGGCTCTCGGGGTTGACTTGAAGAACTTGGCGGTATTGTTCAGGCTTTGTTACCAAGGGCCTGTTTTGCTGGTGGCCCGGGGAGGTGGCACAGCGCATTATCGCAGCCGCGGCAGATCTCTGATGGTATCTGCCCTTGGAGGCGCATGCTTTGGTGAGAAGGTGCATTTTGGCGGAAGCTCCGTTTGCGTTTGATGTGTTCTTCACCCAGCTCGCGAGCAGCTTTTCAAAGCTGCGTTATCTGCCCCCACATCTTGACCTAATTTAACAAGTTGCCATGGTTGCTCAGATAGAGGTTGATGCAATTTTCTTATCTTTTTTGAACGAGAAACGTAACTGCTCAGGAGTTGGTGAACTTCAGTTTCCATAGCCGCAGGGAGGGCTGTCTGGACACCTCTCGTTTTGGGGCCAGCTCTCTCAAAGCTGGGGCCAGCTTTTTCAAAGCTTGGCCGACTCGAGTTTTACGTTAAGCCAGATTTTAACTTTTTGACATGACCTAGGAAACAGAGACAGAACGGATTAAATTTAGGCAAATAGTGTGTCAGGATGCATCTTCTCTGCAGACAGATGAGCTGGACCTCACGTTGGCTTAGCTGAGCTCAGCTTAAGCTCCCTCCTTCATGCAGCAGTGCAGCGTTTGGTGTGGGCGGGCGGCTGGCCCTCGGTGCACGCTGGCACGTGGGCACCGAACCCTCTGTACCCAGCCCCAGCTGGGCTAAACCGAGCTCAGCTTTGCCTCTCTGCCACCTGCAACCCTGCCTGAGGCTGCCCCGGAGCTGGATCCTGCAAGCCACCGGCTCCGATGGGTACCACGGCCCCCAGCATCCTTCGTGAGACCCGACGTGGCGTAGATAAACGTGGCGGCGTGTAGCAGAGAAGCGTGCAGCCCATGCAGAGGGCAGGCGGTGTGGGTCTGACCGCATTGGTCTTCGGCCTTTCTGCCCTACATTTATTTTTCCACTACTCTGACCTACTTGTGCTGCTGCTTTGCTGGTGACAAAGGTCCAGCCGAGGTTCAGACCCTCCCTCTGTCCCTGTGGTTGGCAGTAGCCGCTCAGGGCCAAATTCTTTTCAGCTTTTCTAGAGCACCCCAACGCACCTGCGTGGGTTTATGGCCGAGGCATGGTGTTTGTTTGCTTTGTGATGTGTAGGACCTCGGCATCATCTGTGCAGGCCGGGGCTTTCCACCTCACGGTGTTGTCTTGCGTTGCCGCAACACCAGAGCTGTGATATGCCGAGCTGCTGCTCCGCATAGCTGAGCAGGGCAATTCCCCTCATGTTTGAGAGGGGAGGCGAGGCAAGAGGGACAAGAAAGGCAAAGTGAGTGCACACCAAAACTTGATCCCTCATCTGCTAGGCTGGTTTTTCATTTGTGATGCTGTCCTTTCTTATGGGCCTGGTTAGGACATTGCTGATGCATGTCAGCACCTAAAGAGTTAATGCCCCCTTCCCAGCGAGTATCACACATGACCTGAGCTCTATCTTAGCAGCAGATTGATGCTATCTTCGTTATCATGCTGCCCTAAAGGGAGGCAGAAAGCGGTGCAGGGAATAGGGGACCTCTCGCAGATGCAATCACACCCGAGCACCCAGGAGTGCTTCTGTCTACCAAACGGTTTTGCGAGGGCCAGATCCAGCCCTGATCCTCGCTATCAGCATTTGCAGCATTGCAGGGCCCAAATTTGCCTACTAAACCCATCTGCCCTGTTCAAAATTTCTGGGGTGCAGAGTCTGAAGCCTTTGACAAGCCTCCGATTCTGAGCGATGCTTATCTGTGACACAGAAGTGAAAGCACGCAGCTGCTGTTTTGCAAGAAAGTCAAGTCAGTGCCAAAGAAAGTGGGTCTCTTTCAAGAGAGCTTGTGTGCTGCTTCCCCTCTTCTTGCCTATGCTGCTGGCCTGAAGCAAGATCCCTGGATGTGCTGTGGTCATAGGCATCCGAAAATCCGTCAGCAGCTGCCTTCCTGGCCCCTATCCCATCATGGTCCGGTGATCCGGCTGTCCTGGACATCCAGAGTCTGCAGCAGCTTTCCAAGAAGAGCATCCTTCCTGCCTGCTTGCCTGCACGTCTGGAGTGCCTGTATGGGCATCCATAGCCACTTGTAGCTTGGGTTAGGGGAATTCAGACATGCAGTCAGCTGCCCCAGCAGTCAGAAGCAGCACAGCAGCACCTCTGGCCCCTGAGTGATGCAGGGATGCTGGGAGGGGACTTTTTACAAGGGCCTGTAGTGACAGGACAAGGGGTAACGGGTTTAAATTGAGAGAGAGTGGATTTAGGTTGTATGTAAGGAAGAAATTCTTCCTGGAGGGGATGGTGAAGCACTGGAATGCATAGTGAAGCTTCTCTGGGTTGCCCAGAGAAGCTGTGGACACCCCATCCCTGGAAGTGTCCAAGGCCGGGCTGGATGAGGCTTGGAGCAACCTGGTCTAGTGGAAGGTGTCCCTGCCCATGGCAGGGGGTTGGAACTAGATGGTCTTTAAGGTCCCTTCCCACCCAAACCATTCCATGATTCTGTGATGGTGTTAGCTCCCTCGTTCCAGCTCATACCCTGCACTTGCCCTTGCAGGGTGACTTCAAGCACAACCAGCCCGTGGCATCTGCCTTCTTGCTGCCTCCGGTGCAGAGCCTGCCGGGGCTCAGCAGCCCTTTTCGCCTCTGCAAGGTGGGGAGCTCAAGGGTGGGGCTCGGGGCTGGTTCAGTGGCTCCCGCTCCACCTGCCAGACATGTGCAAATGACAGTGAAAACAGCCTCACGCGACGCTGCCCAACCATGACGGCAGCTCAGTTCTCACCCGAGCTGCTGCAGCCCACGGCAGCCTCGAGGCGAAGGCAGAGCAGCAACTGCGGCTTAGTCCTTCCTTCCAACAACGAGCTGGAGCGTCGCACAGCGGCTCTTGGCCTGCAGGACCACCTCAGGGGGAGATGTGATGCTCACAGAGCCCCTCGTGCTTTGCTAGATGCCTCGGGAGCGAGACCGGTCCTCCCAGCACGCTATTCCTTGAAACAGATGGATCAGGAAAGCAGCACTGGCCCGGAGTGGCCCGCCTGGCTACTCTCCTGCCCCTAAGCGTGGCCAATTGCACGTGGCTCTGCAAAGAAGGTGCTTTCTGGGTCCTTCCCCGCTTTCTTCGCGCTTGCTCTTTGAAGATGCTTCCAGCCAAGCTCCGCCGCCGCCCTCCCACCCATGCAAAGCCGGCACTTGGCGGTGGCGTGACTTCCCGTGCCACCCCGGGGAAGAGCCGGGGAGGAGGTGGTTGGGCTCGGGCTAACGAGGGAGCGATGGGGCCGAGCTTGGCCGTGCCCCCAGCACGATGGGGGATAGCGCGGACCTTGGGTGCCGCGGTGTCATCGCAGGGGGCTTGGGCAGGGGGAGCACGTGGGTGAGGTGAAGGCTGTTTTGGAGACGTTGCTATGCCCAATTGTTTTGTTGGGTTGGAACCACAAACCGCAGGGCGAAAAGCATAGGTGCGCCGCTTTTCTTTTTTTGCAGTGGGGTGGTGTTTTTTTTTTTTCTTCTTGTTTGAAAGGAGAGAAACAAAACAGAAGCCGTTGAGAGGGGTGGGGGTGTGAAACCGTCTCGAGAGAGAGCGGGGATGTCGTGTTTTGAGCCGTGTCTTGCCGGGTACGGCGCGGCTGCCCGGCTGCCCCAGCCAGGTGGTACCACCAGCCCTGCGCCAGTGAAAGTGGCCGTTGTGCATATTTTGCTTTCAAACCCCTTTAGAGTCACCGGGTAGGATGGTGGCAGGGGACATCCAGTCCCGACCAAGGGAGGACGGCACAGGGGTGGCGTGGCACCAAACCCTTTGCTCTGGGGACACCCACGGGTGCCGTCGGAGGACTGGTGCCAAGGAAGCACCGCTCAGCCAGCGATTCCCAGCCATCATCCGGCTTAAGAGGCATATTTTCCCCCTGACGCGGGAGAATTCCTGCGGTGTGACACTCCCCGCTGAAGGACCCCGTTCAGTGCCACCACGGCCAGACAGGGCCCCCATTGTGGCCCTGTTGGGCGAGTGAGCCCCTCCGGCGGGCACTATTCTTAGCAGCCTTCACGGGTGCCAGAGGTCACGGTGGGGCGGGAGGACATCCCATCACCCTCTGAGTCCTCGCCTTGTCTTTTGGGGAGCAGGGGCTGCCCCTATTCCCTATCCAGGGCTGGGCTGGCTCTGGGAAGCCCCTGGATGTGTGCGGCGAGACTAGCACTATAAAAGGTGCCTTGTGTCCCTCCGTCCCATGCTTGGGGCTGCATCCAAAAAAAAAAGGCTGCAAGGATACTCCAGTGGTGATTGTTTTTGGAGATAACCAAGACAACAGGTCGTGTGGTGGGGTACACCCCCCAGGCAACTCGGTGCGGCTGTGCGTGCTTGTACGCTGAAGTGATCTGGACCAGGCGTTGCCGTGGGGATTTCCAGCCCTGGCCGGGGACGAGGAGAAGGGTTGAAGCAGAAGAGATGGAAAATGGGCACTGCTCCCAGCTGCTGCCAGGGAGGAGGTCTGGGGTGGGGAGACAAGCCCAACAGCTTCATGCTCACCCTTATATCTTTGGGGACATGATGTGGCATCTCTTCATGAGCCAAGGGTCGCCTTGAAATCCTTTGAGGCATTGGGAAAAATAACTCCCTGTTCCTTGCTGGCCTGCAGAGCTGGCAAAAGAAGCTCATTTCTGAAGATGGCCCTCACAGCACTTAACTACAGCTGTAGTGGCCCTCCAGATGAGGCATGGACCGCCAGCACCCCTTCCCTGATCATTCTGCCTTCCTACCCTGCCATGTCTCCAGAGCTGTTTTCGGGCACGCAGGCTCAGGCATGTTGCCGGGGTTTGGTTCCTGCCACCTCGTGCATCTCCTGCCTCGCTGACATTTCGGAGCCGTGCCCCAGCAGCAGCGGCACATCTGCAGGGCCTCGGCTGCCTTCCCCTCTGGCAGGGCGTGTGTTTATAGGAGCCGAGACATGCCTGCGAGCCCTGCAGTAAACACATTCTTGACATAATTGCTTGTCCAACACAGAGGAATTTGGGGTTTTATGCCTGTCCCGCAGGCGGCTGGGAATAGACCTTGGGAATCCCTGGTTCCAAGGATGACACCGCTTCCTTCAAAATCCCAAAATACCCGGCAGAGCGGCACCTGGCGCAGTGGCAGGAGCTCTGCTTCCTTGCCGGGGAGAGGGCGAGAAATTGCTGGGTTTCCCGACACCTCTCTGTGCCAGCTGACCCTGAGCACCAAGCGTGAGCCACACCGGCTGCTTGGCTCAGGGTTAATAACACTTGAACCCTGACAGGCTCCCACAGAGCCGGGGTGGCCCAGGGGTATTTTGAGGGCAGTTGCTTACCCAAGAACCTGGTGCCTAGGTGAACAGTGTCCGTCCATCGTGTTTTGGGGAAGAAACTGATGTGCAGTGATGAACCTGGTGCTGCTGCAGTCTTGCCTCCTAGGAGTGTTTCTCTGTTAAGCTGATTAGGGCTGCTCTCCGTCTGCGTGGAGGGAATTGGGGCACAGTCACCAGGTGGGCCAAGAGAAGGTGTCCCTGTGTGAATTCACCGGCAGCTCCCAGTGGAGGACCTCAGGCGGCTGAAATAACCTTGTTGCCCAGTGTTTTCAGTGTATTTAGAGCTCACTGCTATTAATAGACCTAAGCTTTGAGATACGGTGGCACTTCAGGCCAAGATCTTGGCTCTTCCCTTTCGGACGAGAGGCAAAGGAGTCATCTGAATTTGCTCCCTCGTGTTGGCGTGGATAACCCGACTCCATCCCTGCCGGAGAGCGTGGTTGTGGAGTTAACATCTTGGCAAGCTCCTGCCAAGGATGATGGGGCTGGAGCCTTTCCCCACCGAGTGTCACCTTCCCGTTTACAAGCAGAGAGATGCTGTGAGCTGCTTTGTCCCACCCAGGGCTACTCGATAACCCCCAGGGCTTGGCAAAAGACCCTGCAAAACCCTGAAGTGGTTTCTTGGGGATAACAAGAGGGAAATAATTTGGGGAAGGCTGGATGGAGCACAGCGATTCCCTGGTCCTGGAGCCAGGTCTCTCATTTCCTCCTTCCCAGCACCTTGTCTGCTTTTGAGTCATTTTAAACCTTGTGGAAAAGAGGAAACAGCCTGATTTTCCCTCCAGGGTATCCCACAGCCCCAGCTCTGACAGTCATTCATGGAAACGGGCTATTCTCCATCCCGTTTTTCCTGCTTGAAGCTTGTGCTTGTTGCTGTCGGCAGGTGGGTTTGCCTGCCATCCTAATCCAGCCTGTGCCATTCTTTTTGTGATAAATCATTTCCTCTAACCTCCGGCTCTGTTTATTATTATTATTCCCATTCTTACTATTAGCGCCGTATTCTAAGCTGTGTTTAAAACACGGCAAAATCTCTCGCCCGAAACATGTTGCCCAGAGCTAAGCGCAATATTTTGGGTGCGGACGCATTTGGAAGTTGCTCATCAAAGAGGTTTTGGCTTGAGGGCTTCTCCTTTACCTCTGATTGGGTCACAAGTGCAAAGAAGAGATATATATTCCAAAATCACTCCACAGACACCATTAATCCAGCCAAAACCAGGCTGCAAGGCCACGGGCTCTCCGGATACCACAGGTTAGATGTGCCAGGCTCAGGACCCCGAGGCAAATCGTTGTTGGCCAAAATTAGCACCCAGGGTAAAGATGGAGAGCGCGGCGTTGGAAGGAGAGGCTGGATGTACGTGGCACGGGGTGCTGCGTGCCGCCTCTTGCCTCTGCAGCTGGATTAGGGGAACCAGCAGCCACAGGGAGGTTTGCTTATGGCTTTGCTAAGGCCGTGCCAAGACCGTGATGGGGAGATTCACCGGACCTGAGCTGGGGAGATCTCTCTGCCGAGCCAGCCCCTGCCCTCCCCGCGCTGAGCTCTGCGAGCCAGCGTAGCCCATTCCTGCAGCAACATGCCCTGGAAAGAGGCCAAATAATTTTCATACCTGGGTCCCCCCTTATCTTGGTAAACAGCGACGGAGCAAAGAGTCAAGGTCGGGAAGCGGGAGTCTGCTGGAGTTCATGGGATGGCCAGGAGCTTTTTGGCACAGAGGAAAGGATGGTGCTCGTGTGCCAAGACAATGACTCCTCGCTGTTCGGATGCCAGAAAAATAATCCTATTTATGTAACTCGAAGTGAAGCATTCCAGTGCATGAATATTCAGCTCTTACTGCGAATAGGAAGCTCTTTTACCTGCGGGAATTAACTCTCGAGCTGTCATCTCAGTTCAGATCTTTCCCTCTGGCCACTGATGTTTTATTTTGGATAGTAGGTTTTATTTTTTTCACTGAACACTGTGATTTTTTTCCCTTCCCTAGGGTAGAAGTGGTTGTGCTTTCCCTGGCATTAATGTCTCACGTCTCCTTTGTCTTTCTAGGCAGTGGACCCATCCAACTGTGGCAATTCCTTCTGGAACTGCTCACTGACAAGTCCTGTCAGTCCTTCATCAGCTGGACGGGCGATGGCTGGGAATTCAAACTTTCCGACCCAGACGAGGTAGAGTGCCCTGGAATTAAGCGCATGGCCCAGATGCCACTGAAATAGTGGTGTGGATAACCTGTCCCTCCTCCCTTCAGGGCTTTTGGGCAGGTCTTGGGCGTGTAGAGGGAAAAACAAGGAATTAGAGCCCAGCTGAAAACCTGTTAAAAATTGGGCTGTTGTAATACCTAGGAAGCAGTAATTTGTGCCCAAAGTTGGTGTGAAGTAGCCAAAACACCACAGAGAGAGGCCTATGGCCAAAGCTCTTCCAATAGGATGCGTACAAGGGCAGGGCTTCCCACTGATTCTGGGGAACAGATGGGACATTCATTCCCTTCCCTGGATATGGAGCCCTCTGCAATGTTCTGCCATTGCATGGAGGTTGATTTTCCTAAACTTTAATGTTTGGGACCCTTCCTTGTCCATCTTAAAGCTGAGGAAGGTCCTCTCCCTTCCCTGGTGTCCGGCACTGCTGTTTGCCGGTGGATCCCCAACCAAGCCAGACTTTTCCTTCTCTTCCCTGCAATGCCCATTCCCCACTTTGACCCTTCCCACCCCTCTCCCAGGTGGCCAGGCGATGGGGCAAGAGGAAAAACAAACCCAAGATGAACTACGAGAAGCTGAGCCGCGGCTTACGCTACTACTACGACAAGAACATCATCCACAAGACGGCTGGGAAACGCTACGTCTACCGTTTCGTCTGCGACCTGCAGAGCCTCCTGGGCTACACGCCCGAGGAGCTCCACGCCATGCTGGACGTCAAGCCAGACGCTGACGAGTGAAGGTGGCCAGCTGGGGCGGAGGATCACCCCATGTCATTTTGGAGAGTCAGTGGGACTTTTTCTGTTGGTTCTGAATCATTTTTTCTGTTATTTTTTGTTGGGGTTTTTTTTGTTTGTTTCTTTTGATTTTTTTTTTTTACAGAGCAACTCAGATTTGATGCTTTGAGGATGTTGGGAGAGAGGGTGGTGGAAGAGGCAAACTTTGGGCTGCAACCTAAAAACTTTGGTTCAGAGAAGGATGGGCGCTTTTTTTTCCTGAAAGCTCTGACAGGCTTTTTTTGGAATGAAATTCTGAGTTTTAAGAAAGCCAGAACAATGTAGCTCACTTAAAAAAAAAAAAAAAAAAACCCAAAGTAGCTCACATAAAAAAAAAAAAAAAAAGCCCCCCTCCCCATCCCTTGCTGTTTAGAAAAAATATCAAACGGATCCCTTCGGTTTTGTGTTATTCACACACCAAACTGGCAGTTCAGGGAGGGCCTATTCCCGAGGACTTGAGAATTTTAAACCCTTTTGGGAGGGGCAGGGAGGGAAAGTCAAAGTGGGTGAATATTCCTGCTTCGGGGAGGGGCAATACAGAAAAAAACCAAGAACTGTTTGTCGTTCTTGTAACGTTGCCTTTCTGTCGGTCGTCTTCTTTTCTACAAAAGACAGAATTTTTGCTAGGAGGGATCAAGACTTTTTTTTTTATTATTATTTTTAAATTTGTTAAAGTTTTATTTTATTAAATTTTGTGCCAGTATTTTTTTTTCTAAATAGTCTTAAGCTCAAAGATGGTCTCAGTATTGCAATATTGTGTGTGTTTGTTTCTGTTATGCCAGCAGAGAGTTTTATCACAGTGAGGAAAAAGAAAAAAAATATTAAAAAACCCGAACAAATCAGTTTATGTAGACCCCACTGGAGAAGTTTAATGCTACGACTCGGCAGCTCCGAATCGTATGTGAAGGAAAATCGACTCCAAACTGGGTCCTTGTGCTGCTGGCTGGGGGGGGGGCGGCTTTGCTTCCCCTCCCCCACGCCTTGAGCTTTGGCTCCGCCTTGGCTGATAAAGCTGGTTGAAATTTCCGCTTTTTTGTCGTCGTTAAGAAAGGGGCCGTTTGGTGTGGCTGGGTTTTGTGTGCAAAACCCATCAAGATTTGCAGGGAAGATGTCTTTTGGCGTTTTCCAAACCATTGGTGGGTTTTTTTTCTTTGCTCAAGGAACACTTTGGTGCTTTCAGAAAATTAAGTTTTTGGTTTTGGGTTTTTTTGAGGGGAAAGGGAGAAATTCCCATGTTTTGAATGCCATAAATGGAATATATATAAGTTGACTGGGGGGAAAAAGATCAGGAAAAAATTGAAAAAGCAAAGGGAAATGTTTTTTCCTTCCTGTTTCAACCAGCTCTATCTTTATTGCCGTGTCTTTTAACCAGCCTGGGCACACACAGAAAGGAAATTGTCCTTGCAAATGGGCTCTTTACTGCTCTTTGTAAGCCTGATCCTGCAAACCCTGTCAGGGTGTGATTAACACGAAGCATATGACCGGGGTAAACGAGAGGTCTCATGGGCTTGCCAGAGACGGTTGCAGGATCCGGCCCGGGGGGAGCTGCTCCGTCTGTCCTCCAAACCCTTTGCAGCGTGGTTTGCCTTCAGCGGGGAAAATCCCGCTGCACCGAGCACTTCCCGGGATGCTCTGAGCAGCCCGGGGCTGGCGACCACCTTCGGAGCAGGCTCGGTGTGAGTTGGAGGATTGGAGCGGTGAGCGTTTCCACCTCCAGATAAGACCCCGGAGCTGGATCCGTGCGGATCCGACTGCTGAAATGGGGTATTTCACCCCTGAGGGCAGTTTTAAAGGCAGTATTATGCGTTTGAACCAAAAGTACCTTCTTTTAGTGTTGTCTGTCTGTCCGTCTGTGTGGTTTAGGTAGTTGCGTTCATTACAGAGGCACTGTGAGGCAGTAGTGGGGGGCGAGGTGGGGAGAGGCTTTCCAGAGATGCTCCCCAGGGTGGGCAGGACAGGACTCCATGCAGAGAGCCAAAATATTGGGCACGTAACCCCCCTGCACTGGAGCAGTGTTGGGTGGGGAGCTCGACCCCAGAGCAAGGTGATGCTCAGAGGTGCTGGCGCTCCTCTGCTTCCTCCAGTGCTGGGGGGACCCAGCACCTCTGTACCCCTGGTTGGTCATTTTGGGGCAAGTCAGCCCCAAAACTGCTGCGTGCTTGCAAAAAGGAGATGGTGGAGGGGCAGTGAGTGGGCCAAGAGGGAGCTCCAGCCAAGGGCATGGAAGCAGATGGTGGTTGAGGTAGGGGAGGTTGTTGGTTATGCTGTTAGCTCACGGGGCTGGGGCTGCGCATCATCCCACTGAGCATACGGGAAGAAAAGGGTGGGAGGGATGGAAAGGAAGGAAGAGGGGGTGGAAAGAAGGTGAAAGGAGCATGAACCAAAGGAGGAAAAGGACGCTGCCCACTGGGAAGTTAAACTTCAGCTCATCTCCTCGGCAGACAGGGTGGATGGGAGAAAGCAGCTCGGCCCAGCTGGAGAAAGGAAAGGAAGATAGCATGGATGAGGTCTCCCTGCCTGCCAGGTGCCGGGGCAGAGCTCTCCTGCAGCGCCGAGGCTCACCGTAGCTGCCGAGCAGGCCGGAAAGGGAGTCGAGCAAGGGGTGACGGCATGGAAACATGCAAGGAGGAGTAGCTAAAGCATCCCAAGAGGACACGCCGTCCGGGTTGGATTTTCAGCGGTCGGGTGGGTGTTTTGGGGTGTTCAGGGTTGCTGTCCTGCATGCAGCTGCAAAGTGCCCTTAGCTTACCCTCATGGGACGCTTCTGACGTTGCTTTAAAAAGCCCCCTGACACCCTTACAAAGGGTGCTGCCAGGAGGCCAGGTGCCCATCTCCTGCCCTCGGCACCGCGCCGTGCCCCAGGATGTGTCTCCTGCTTTGCTCGGATGCTGCGCTGCAGCTGAAGTGCCTTTTTCAAGCAGAAAACAGGGATAAGATTTCCCTCCGGCAGAAGGAACCGCAGGTTCGGGTACCAACCCCATCCTTCTGCCAGCCGAAATCCCTCCTCTGCTCCACCGTGCTTAGTTTTTCCAGGTTTCCAAGCAAAACCTGTGCGTGCCCAGTGATTTTGGGAATACGGTTTAAAGGTTAGAAAGGGCGAGTCGTGGAAAACAGCTCTGTTTTTTGGGAAGTAGCCCCTGGCTGGAGCTTTGCCATTGTTTCTCCCGGCTGGTTGCCATCCCAGCTCACAACCTGTGTGCAGCAAAAGGGTCCTAGGGACATCAGGTTCATAATTTTCTAATTTCCTTTGCTTATTCCCAATCTGGAGACCATCCCGGAGAGGGCTGTGTGCTGTTTATACACTGGAAATTTGCAGATTTGTTCTTTTTTTTTTTTTCTTCCTGCTTTTTTACTGCGTGTTGACTTACGGCAAGGGATGTGCTGGAACCCAAACCCTCCAACCTCTGATTTTTTGAGGCTGTGAAAATGTGGTTAACCCGCGCTGATGGGTTTGAGAGGGAGGATGGACATCTGCCGGGGAGGGATCTCGCTCCTGTGCTGGTTTCTCTGCGTGAGGGCGAGCTCCGCTCGCGGCCGGTACATGTGGTGTTTGGAAATTGGGTGATTCTGTCATGTTTTGGAATGTCTCAGGTGCTTTTGGTGATGGTTTTTGGTATTTCCTGTGTCCTGCTCGTCATCTTTTTCTGCTGCCCATCTCTCTCCATCTCTGTGTGTAGGATGACCATAATCCATGGACACTCGTGTGTGTGCAAGCGTAGATCCATTTTATTTCCACACTACCACCGTCCCGCTCCAGACACGCTTGTTCAGGTGGCGAAAGAGCCAAACAGGGTGAGAAATTCTAAGATTTCACCTTCTCGTGTCTTGCCAAACCAACACCTCCTCCCAAAAAACGGTCCTAGGAAGCACCGATAAATTCAGAGGCTGCAGGAAACGTCTCCATCTTCTGGCTCTTGCTCTTCTGGAGGGGTTTTTCTGCGAGGCTTTAGGGCTTGGTCACTCGTTCCTCGTCAGCGTCGCCAAATTTGGATGCCTTGGCGTGCTCTGCTCTCTGGTAGGGTCTAAATAACATCCGTGAGCTGTTGTCTACATTCCAAAGAGGTTTAAATAAATGATAAATCTATGTATACATATATGTTATAATGGAATATCTCCAGGAATTAACTGCCTCAGTAAAAAAAAAAAAAAAGAAAAAGGGTCTTGTTTTGTTTTATTTTGTTTTTACACATGGGATTTTTTTTTTAAGCTGATAAACATAGAAGAAGAAAAAAAAAAGAGATTGTTATATTGTGCTGTTCGACTATTTTCCAACTTGTATTTTCATATAATTTATATTTTTTAAAAGTGGAAAAAAATTTTAAAAGCGAGATTAACAAAAGAAAACAAAGGAAAAAGCAGGTGCTTTTTAAAAAAACTGAGCTGAGGTAGCTTAGAGATGTAGCGACGTGTGTGTGTCTGTGTGTTGTGTTTTGTTTTGTTTCTTTTTTTTTTTAAAGGATACAGAAAAAAAAATTGTCCCTCCTACATTGAATTCTTAAAGAAGGAGGGGATTGGTTTTGTTTTAATTGCTGATGCTGGCACATCATTTTGCTGGAGAGTTTTTTATATACTGTAGCCTTATTTCATATCGTATTTTAAACCATGTGAAATTAAAAGAAGAATAATTCATAACCCTCGGCGTCGGTGTGCTTATTTGTTGCCTTTGCTCTCTGAATTCGGGGAACAAAGTGGAAGGACAATGCAGAAACTTAGGAATCCCAGCAACTTCTATATGTTTTTTCATTATTAAACAAAATTGTGTGGTTGTAGCAAATGAGGGTCTGGCTGGCACAGCCACCTCTGGTCCTGGGGCCTGGAGAAGGGAGATGCTGTCCTCGCTCTGGGAGCAGGACATGAGTTGTCCTCTCCAGCTCCTCGGAGACCATCACCGCTGCTGTCCCAGGGGCAATTCCAGGGTTTCAACATGGCCTTTCATCCTGAATCACCGCTGGAAGCCTGGGACA